CATTTGGCACATATTTGCACGTTAAGAAAGCGATAAATGCAGCAGTTTCATAATTTAAAGCAGCAATAAAGGAAAGAAACAAGAAGACATGTCAGTTCTACAGTTGAAAAGGATATTAAATGCTTAAAGATTTAAGGTGCATTAGGACACCTATAGGGTTCATTTCTAAGTTTGTTTGATAACCAGAGATAGGGTAAGGGCTTGAAATTATCCCAAAGGGAAGGTGTTAGGCACCCCTCAGGATCCACTAGTATGGTTCCCTGCCAGACAGTTTTGTGAATTTGTACAATTAGCAAATAGACAAGTATAGGGTCAAGTAGTAGGGGATTTGGGTTTGAACACATAAGTGTTTGAAAACAATTAAAAGGCGAATTTTGAAAATGAGTTATAGTTTTACAAATACATGAAAATATAGAAGGAGAGGGTCCTAGGTTTATTTATAATATGGATCACATCAATGTGATACTCGATATGACACTCCTCGGAAGAGGGGATACACGTGGTATTAGTGCACGGGTCATCATATCCAAATCTACCCTTCCCACCCCGTTAAGGTGTTAAAGCACGGATTGGTATCGACCTCTATTGCATGTATTACCCATCCCATTCCTATCAGCCCCGGAGGAATTTAGGACTACTATTCCTATAAGAGGGAGGATTTTAGGGTGACTCTTTGATTTTAAAGGTAAAAAGACTAAGGCGATATTCAAAACATGTAGTATTGCATATTAGGGGAACATATAAACAGCTAAGAGGCTCATATATACCTCCTCAAGCAAAGCACATAAATAGCATGACTTAAACACATTTAAGGTCAGAATTTAAAGTACTGAGATAGGGGAGTTTTAGTTGTTGAAGCAGACCAGTTTATTACATAACTCAGATAAGAAGTCTGAATCAGGTCTGCCTGCTGGTTTTAGCGATTACTAATTAACAAAGGCGGATTCAATTTTGTTGTTATCAACTAAGGCTTGCCTAAGTGTGCATTGGTGATATCCTATAAGCATGTTATCTATTACTGATTAGGAAATGCAGTAAAGCAGCGATAGTTTTAAACGAGCAATTTGGATCCTATAGGCATGCTTTCTAAACCGTATTAAATGATATCTAAGTATCAAAGACTGATTTTGGTCCTATAGGCATGGTATCTAATTGAACATGAAATAAAGCAAGCAGGACTTACTTGAAATTCCTACAGGCATGGTTTCTATGAAAAATACTGATTTTAATCTTATAGACATGACAACTAATTTCAAAGCTGATTTTAACCTTGCAGACATGACGACTGATTATAACCATTTAGATCTTATAGGCATAGTGTCTAAGTGTAGTAATAAAACATGCAGAGTTTATTCAACAAATCCTATAGGCATGTTCTCTATCTGCATGAAAGTAGAGCATGCAGACCTTGAATTAAAACAGAACAGATCTTATAGGCATGGTATCTACCCTTTTAATAGCTAACATGCATAATTACCCATCCCTTTTTATTAACTAGCCCCAATGTTTGTTACAAATTATTACAGATCAAACACTGAATTACATCAGAAAAATGTAAAGTAAGAAGTTACAACCATAGGAAGCCTGATTCTTGACTTCCTCTCTGAGTTATGGATTAAATTATCTCAAGAGCCACTTGTTTCAAAGCCTTTCTCAGACCTTGGTGTGTCAAATTTCCCTAAGGGTCTCAAGGGACTCCGGACAGTGCTTACACCTAGGTTTGTATAACCAGACAGAGATGAGTGCAGTGTGGAAGGGCCAGCCCTTATGTGTCCAAGTTCAGAGGGAGCTCAAGGGTCCCAAGGCAAAGCTCACACAAGAGGGGCAGAACATAGGTTCTAAGAATATAATGGAAGTACAGAATATAGAGATTTATTTAAAACTGGGTTGAGAATGGTAAGGGGTAAGGGTGATTTGAAAATAGTAGTAGTAAATCTCAAACCACACAGAATCAGTAGTTACACAAGGGGTCAAGGGGTTTTGGGAATACATTGTATGAAGCATATGACCCTAGAAAGGGTCAGGTCTGGGTCATGCACAACAATATCTGATGCTGACATTCCCACAAACCAGCCAGAGAACACAAATGCATAGAGAGGATATGGGGTTTGGGATTCAAACACATAACAAGTGACTGACAGAGTACATACATAGGGAAACATTAATTAAAAAGGGAAGGGAGCATATTACAGCATGCTAGTAATGTAACATGATTGTAGAAACATAAGCAGAAACAGACAAACATGAGAGAAGTTGGAACAATTACAGAAAACATATTGTTGTTGATGCTTGAAAATTAACTAGGACATACCAGTAAGAAGCAAAGTGCAGAAAGGAAAAGTAAGCAAATTTCTACAGCCTAGCCTTGGCTTTCAACTGTCTAGACAAAGCAGTAGCACAAGTAGCAATAGAGAAAGAGAGAGTTTTGAGTGAAGTGTGTGTTCTTCAACTCAAATTGTTCCTTGTCTTTGAAAGAAAAGGGGGTGTGTATTCACAGTTTTGAAAATAGGTGAAGAGTAAGGTAATAAGTAAAGTCTTAACCCAAACATGGAAACAACCACAAGTCAGAATCAATTAACCCAAGTGATTCCCCTTTAATTAAGGAGTTACTATTTAACGGGTAGCAGCAGGTCTAATTAAGGAAAGAAATTCAATTTGGGGACAACTTGATTATTGCCATAAAAGGGGTAGTAAAAGCATGAAGTAAACAATCAAGTCTAAGTACAAAGATATGCTTATTTTTGAAAAGATTCAGTAAGGTAAAATATCACAACAAAGGAAAGTAATCAATTAATTTTAAACAGGCGAGTGAAATTAGGGGTCATAAAAGAAAAGTTTTTGCAATCAGTCACAAGACCAAGATCAATCAAGGAAGAAACATGATTCTGCACTTCAATATATAAATAGAGTGATTAGAAACATCAGACATGCGAGACTAAGTACATTGGCAAAAGAAACAACATACAATAGTAGCAGAAATAAGCTAGGATTCAGTAGTAAGAAAGATATTCGAAGCATAGTAGTCAAGTATGTCAGGTAGTCACATAGAATTAACAATGAAGAAATCATAGCAACAGGTAAAGATAATCGGAAACAAGTAAAGGTCTCACAGTATCAAGTGAGGAAAACCTTTTAAGAAATTAGGGTTTCAACAATAGTTGAGTTAAAAAGATAGTGAAACTCAGAATCAGATAGGTCACATAAAAGAAAAAAGAGTCTGAAACAAGGAACCTTTAATCGAGTCAAGTATACTTTCAAACAAGCAGTCTCAGACCAAAAGACCTAGGGTTTTCCACAATAATCGAGTTCAAAAGATGGTAAAACTCAGAATCAAATAAGTCAAACAAGAATGAAGAACTTAATCGAGCAAGTACACATTCAAACATGCAGTTTCAGAACTCGGATGAGGCAAAAAGGAACTAGGGTTTTATCATGCTGGCTCAAGTAGAAGGAAAGCATAACAAGCAGTTTGAACATAGTAAAACCAAAAAACAACACCAATAATTAGAGAAGACATTTTTTTTAAAAGGGAGGTTAAGAGAAACCCTAATCGGAGAAAATGAAGGGTCGATTTGAAAGAAAAGTTGAAGAACTTTCGAGAAAACACTTAAAACATTCATAGCAAGTACAGATCTAAAGTAGATCTGAAAGAAAAATCCAAAGATATTAAAGATTAGGGTTTTGTAAGACCCAAAAAAGGTGAGAAAGACCTTAAAAGTTACCGATCTAACCAGGAGAGTCAAGGATCTGACTCGAACGGTCATGGCTGGCCGGAGAAAGGTCATGGATGACCGGAGGAAGGCCATGAACAGAAGTCGAGCAAGGACTGGACCAGATTCCCTCGAGGTCTGGCCATGAAACTACAGAAACAAACACCCAGGAGCCATAGGAGGCCACTACACATCTCCAATGGCCATGGGAGGCCATGGATTAGGCAGGGTTTAGGGTGGATTAGGGTGGGATTAGATGGCAACGGCTAGGGTTCTTGAGAGGTTTCAGAGAGAGTTGAGAGAGAAAGGGAATTCAAAGATGGCGGGTGTAGAGAAATGATTTAGATTTAGGGGTCGTTCAGGGTTAAAAAAGGTAAGGGGAAACAGTGGCCGTTGATCTAAATGATCAACGACTAGGATTAAAGGGGTTAGGTGGGGAATCCGGGTTGGGTCACTTAAATTGGGTTAGGGATCGTGTTTGAGTTGCAACTAGGCTGGGAAGTTGGGTTTGATTTGGGGCTCACTTTAGGCTGAAATTGAAAGCCAATCTGGCTTGATTTTAAATAGTCATTTTCCCCATTCATTTTATAAAAAATAGTAAATTAATTTCTGAAAACACATTAAAAGCACTAAAATGATTTATAACATATAATTAACAATTTAAAAATATAGGACTTGATTTTATGAATATAAACGCAATTAAATCTTAAAAAGGCTAACATTGCATTTACGTGCAATTTAGCTTACAAATACTAAATAAATTTGTAAAAATATGAAAAAATTACATTAGCTATATTTTAGCATAAATATAGAAATCCAATGGAATGAACTATCAAAATAATAATTTTGAAAATAATTATTGGATTTTTATGGATAAAAGAGGGAAATAAATTAATTTTAAAAATTATGAAAAAATAATAAAACACTTGGACATGCTTATATATACATATATATATGCTATTTTGAAGGTATTTTTCATATTAAAAAATATATAGGGAAAAATTGGGTATCAATAGTGTATGCACTAGAGAAACTCGGCAGTAAGGTGCAGTGGCCGCAAAAGATGAAATCGGACCCGAGCACAAGGAGGTCAAATGTCCTATGTGAATTCCACCAAGAAAGAGGAAAAATACCGAAGATTGCATAGGTCTGCGGCAAGAAGTAGTTAGGATGTTAAACCAGGGGTACCTGAAAGAACTGCTAAGCGATAAAGGACGGGCCAACTTCACTTGAGGGCGCGAACCACCTCAAGGACTTCCAAAGCCACCATCACCAGCCCGTACCATACAAATGATCATTGGTGGCGGTGATGACACGGTAATCAACCATGTGAAGTTCACCACCACGCATAAACTCAAACGGACAGTCGTCGACGAACGGTATGATGACCTCGAAGATAGTATCATTTTTGATAAGTCAGATACCGACGGTTTGTCTATCCCTCACTATGATGCTTTGGTTATAACTTTATGCATCGCTGATACTGACGTAAAAAGACTCATGGTGGATGACAGAAGCAGCGCGTGTATGGTTCACCCACGAGTTCTCATGCAAATGAGGCTCGAGGATAAAATAATACCGCGTTGCATAACACTAACGAGTTTTAATAATGTAGTAGAGAAAACATCTGGAGAAATAGTGCTACCGGTCCTGGCAGGAGGGGTTACTCTGGAGACGACATTCCACATCATGAACCAGGAAACGGCCTACAACGCCATCATAGGGCGACCATGGATACACGCCATGCGAGCCGTCCCGTCCAGCTTTTATCAAGTAATAAAATTTCCCACCCCATGTGGTATATTTAGCATTCGAGTCGATCCACGCACCGTCCAAGAATTCTACCAGATCTCCCAAGATTTCACACATACCAAATAACTAAAAAGTGCAAGCGCGGAGGCATAACAATCAGCCATGTCGGGAACCAAAACCCGACATACAAGTAGAGGCCATCAAAGACCCCGGATATCGTAGAAGCTTGCAAGGCAACCATAGAGGATCTCGATCCCGTCCAATTGGATGATACCAATAGCACGAAAAAGGCTTATGTTGGACACAACCTCTCGGAGCCAGGTAAGTATCGTGAATTTTTAACTAACAACGCCGATTTGTTTGCTTTCTCCCACTCAGATATGCCAGGAATCCCAAGGGATATCGCCACTCATAGACTGAATGTCGACCCACTTTATCCGCCGGAACGGCAAATGAGGAGAAAGTTCAATGCCGCAATCAATGAGGCGGTCAACGAGGAGGTGGATAAATTACTTGCCAATGGTTCCATCAGAGAATCAAAATACCCCCAATGGGTCGCTAATGTGGTCATGATCAAAAAGAAGAATGGGAAATGGCGAATGTGTGTTGACTTCACCGATCTGAATAAAGCATGCCCGAAGGACTCCTTTCCATTACCTCACATCGACCAACTTATTGATGCTGAGCTTCTTAGACGCCTACTCCGGTTACAACCAAATTCTTATACCTGAAGAAGATCAAGAAAAGACAACTTTCATCACTCACCAATGAACGTACTGCTATAAAGTGATGTCGTTCGGGCTCAAGAATGCAGAGACCACGTACCAGAGGTTAGTCACCAAAATGTTCAAAGAACAACCCGGCAAGACCATGGAGGTTTACCTCGACGACATGCTGGTAAAGTCGACAAAGAAAGAGGATCACATTGGCCATCTGAAGGAAGCCTTCGAGATATTAAGGCAGTACGGGATGAAGTTAATCCCGAAAAGTGCGCCTTCAGTGTAACTTCAGGAAAATTCCTTGGTTTCCTCATGTCACAAAAGGGAATCAAAGTCAACCCGGATCAAATCAGGGCTATCAACGCAATACCAGAGATACTGACCAGCAAAAAGCAGGTGCAGAAGCTAACAGGGCGAATAGCCGCCCTATCAAGGTTCATTTCATGATCCTCGGATAGATGCCACAAATTCTTCAATGTGCTGAGAAAAGACCACGGTCTGTAATGGAACGAAGAATGTATCAATTGTAGACGCGTGATTTTTGACCCTCCCCGAGAATTTCCACATTTTTAGCGTAAATATTTAATTTAGGTCTAATATAGCTATTTTGACTATTTTACTTTATTTCGTCGCAAAAGAAAAAATTACAAAAATATATATATAAATTTTAGTTTATGTATTTCACACAAACTTGAAAAATACAAAAAAAAAGTACCTTATTTTGTACTTTATATAATTTCGAAAATTACCAAAAACAAATATAGTTATATTAATGTTTTGTAGTCACTTTAATTTTGAAGAAATACAAAAATATTACTTTATATTTTATCTCTATATAAAAACGAAAATTAAAAAAAAAAATAGTTTTATTAATGTTTTGTAGCTATTTTAATCTTGAAAAGGTATTAAAAAAGATATAGTTTTGTTTTAAATATTAGTCTTATTTTGGTAGTTATTTTACTTACATAGGATTAGTTGAGCAACGTCGTGTTCTTATTCTCGGGTCCGGGCAAAAGGATAATATTCGGGTTCAAACTACCCGTTTTTAGGCCTAATTTTCGGGCCTAGCCCATAATAATCCGAGTCCACCATACATGGGGGACACGCGTGGGGAACACGGACGGAACACCATACACGGGGAACCCCACCGCGCATGGGGAACACATGTCTTGGACCCCTACACGCGTGGGGTCCATTTTCTTGGCAAAGGTTACAAAATGCACGGGGTTAGACAAATTTTTGGGGGTTGGACTTTGGAAAATTTTGCAAGGGACTATTCATCTTCTTCTTCCTCAAAGAAGAAGAAGAAAATCCTAACGGACCCTACCCCAAAGCCTCACGACCACCACCCTTCCAGCTTCCCCCAACGCCCTGCATCCACGCCCAAACACCACCACCAAACAGACCCTTCCACCACCCGTCACTGCCCGTCGACCCTACGTCAAAACGCCATAACCCTCGTCTGCCTCACCAGCAAAACCACCAGTTCCGTCGACCATCGCCCACCTCCATCCAGCCCCCTTCGCACGGCCAAACGACCACTATCCGCGTCGCCTGAACCACCAGCTGCGTCGTCACTGCCACCAACCAGCAGTCTATTTTTTTCCAGGTCCAAACGATCCCTTTTGCTCCATCTCCTCGTATCAGTCTGATGCGTCGAAAGACAACCAGCAACAGCCAACATCTCGGGTCGTTAGCACTTTTGGGCCGAGCTTTCAGTTTCCTTTG